CAAGAAGGATTACCTCGGGTAGGATCCAAACAAGGATCGAAGAGGAATAAAAGTTGAACAAGGTAGAAATTTTACAGGTTGAGCACTGAAAAGTGCTATTTAAATTTACTGTAGCTTTCGGTAGTAGTAACACTTCCTTCAGAAAACCGGGCATGTTAAAATGTGTAGTTCAGTCGGCAAAGGCGCAGCTACAAAGCAAGACCATGTTGGAGGTGGCTGGGTTCAATTCCCGGTCCGGTCTAGGAATTTTTTGGGTTGGAAAATTTCTCGACTTCCCTAGGCATAGAAGTATGATTGGACTTGCCACACAATTATACCAATGCAAAAATGGTACAGGCTTCGAAAGCTCTCAATTAATAACTGTGGAAGTGCATCTAGAACACTAAATTGAGAGCACGCAATAAGATAATATGCGAAATGCAATAAGCTTGAAATGCGAAGAAGAAGAAGCATGTTAAAATGTATAATAAATGGAAAATGCTACTCATAATCTGAAAAATATGCTCAATTCCTCCCAATGGTTATGCAGCCGTAATGAGTCCTCATAGCATATCCCAAGTCATCAACAAGCCCACTAATTATCAGTTTGCGATACAAAATTGATAGTCTGAGGAAGTAAAAATATTTAAGGACTGTATTTTAATTGATTTTAATTGTAATTGACTATTTTGAGTAGGTGTATAAAAATGTACAAAATTCATGTGAATTTTTTCATTGAATCATATTTGCGCAGGCAGTTTCAATGACGGTGCTATAGGTGAACAAAATTTACTTTCGTGACTCTCACAGATATCAAGAGACACATTGATTTTTAGGTTTCAATCAATTTTTATATTATTAAGTTATTAAGTTATATTATATCGAAGTATGACTGTAATAAACACCAAAAATTATCGAACTCGTTGGTTTTTAGAATGTTATAAACCGGTACTTCGATATTGCAGAATGGCAACCAATAAAACCTACCAAGCAATCCTACCACAGAGCAACCAAACTGGAACTGTTTTATTCTAGGACAGAGTTTGTTATCATACTTGATATTCTTATATTTTTCTGAGTTAAAGTGCAGGAGATACCCCAGTTTATTAATTAATAGAATATAACCGATGTCTATTATTTAAGTTATGCTAAAAATTGAAATTTTTAACCCCGTCCTCCTCCGCTTTTGTTACAAAACGTAACGTGGAAAGTTACCGCCCTCTATGTATTACGTAAAGCTCTAAAAGCCGCCCCTCTCATTTTATGAAATTCAGATATATCAATAAATTTTTGTTTTGGTTATAACTTCTTTATTTCAAGAAATTTAATATGTTCAAAATAAAAACAGAAGATAAGCGTACCATCGAGTACTTACTTTTCAAAAATTTAACGAAAGCAAAAAACTCAACATAGAATATTAAAACACATCCATTTTGCAAGCAGGTGACGTGTTTTGAACTGTATTTTCAAACATTACATATAGATGAACGATATAGATGATCCTCTATTTGCCCCCCTCCCCTATAAACGTTACGTAATACTGCAAGATTTATAGCTGTCTTAAAGTCCAAATCTTGGTGTTGGAGACCATGATAAAACCAAAATTGTTACACGGGCACTTATGGCATAACACATCACAATTTTGGTTTTCAGGGCGAATTTATGTACGATCCTGACCGTATACTGCCAAACCAAATCATGTGGCGTTGTTGTTTTGACGTAGGACTACGTCTTTAATTTCTCGTATATTATGGGTCATATTAAATAAAAAATCAAAATTCAGACATGTAAAGAAAAATCCCAAACACGTAGAGCGCAAATCGAACAAACGACGCATTGCGCATGCTCACATGAGCGAGCTCAATGCTCGGTTGATCGACCAATGAAAGGAAGGGAGGAGAAAAGCATCGATAATAAAAACGCGTGCCAAATCTTTTTCTCCGTCATTGGCTTTCGAGAAACGGGCGGATAAGCGTCGGACACGACGTATGAGTGGAACAACATGCATCGCACCAATACGAAGACGACGACGGCGACGACGAAAACACCCACATCGACCGGAGGAAAGGCTTCGCGCTATAGGAAGCATATCAAGGCCACCGTCATCCTGTCGGTATCGACTTGCACTGGTGTGGCCACCATTTGAAAAACAACCGGCCCTTTTCAGGGCCATCAATTTAAAAACGGAAAGAGTTAAGGACTAAATGATCAATATATTTGTTCCGTCCACTAGCAGTCCTACGTCAAGCTTCCGTTCGTGCCCCTAGGCACAGACCCTTCTACTTTTTTGTAGAAAATTACTGTAGGATATTTTTTTAGAATATTTTAAGGGATGTGACCCCGGCGTAGTGGTTAGTATTCATACGTCTCACGCCAAAGTCACGAGTTTAAATCTTACCCCGGACAAGTCACGAATGAACCAAGAGCTTTGAAGTGACTATAATAATAAAAAAAAAAATATTTTAAAACGCTATATCGATGATTTATCCCTCTTTTAGGTAATTTAATTATTAAATAATAGTAAACAAACAAACGGCTGGTTTTAGCTTTAAAACTCTTAGGCTCTAGAATTGCCTAAGTGCAATTATAATAAGACATTATATATAAATTTGTTCAAATTTAGTTACAGGAAGAAGTCTTCGTGTTATGCAGCAGACTGCGAAAAAGTTTAAATATTATCTCTTCTTATTTTAAAAATGGAAGATTTCTCGTAATGCTTCCAAAACTAAACTTATAATATTCCCACATAAGATCAGAGCTTCCTTTTTGAAACCTAGTAGTAGTCACATAGTCGCTACCCAGAGTAGTGGGTAGTAACTATGTGACTACTACTAGATTTCAAAAATTAAGCACTGGGCTAATGTGGGAATATTAGCAGTTGCTCACAGCGATATAAATGTGAAAAAGCTTAGTCGTTCACCTCTTTGTTCGCCATTTTATCTGCCTCAATATTGAGAAGCATTCCCAGCGACCAAGAGTTAATCAATAATTAATACACTAGCAACCCCGCAATCTGACGCTATCGTAGTTTTCAGCAACGTCAGGAATGCTCACGAGCCCCGACATTCAGCCAGAAAACTTACTACTAATTCTAGGCATCTTCCAAATAAGCTTCAATATTAATTTTTTTCGTTTATCAAATGCTAAATTCAGTCCTCTATAATCGTATTATGTCACTAACGCTCTTGGGTCATTCGTGACTTGTCGGGCGTTTCTAGTATTACGTCTAAGTCACTTCCTCTTTCAATACAATCACGCAAATATCGAAGCAGCAAACCGTTATCTGCTTTAAGAATGGATACCATAGTCAAGTATACAATTCGTTGCTTCACCGACAACAATTTTAAAGCGTCCAGCATCAAAGTTGAGAAAGTGAATCTATTACATCTCAAAATGAAAACGCATTATTTTATTCTGCAATCGCTGTTATCTCGATATTTGTGTTTCATTGACCAGAAATAAAATGGAAGGACAAAAGTCTAGATGAGGAGAGATGCTTGATTTGTACAGCTATATTTTATTGGTAATAGTTAAAAGGTTTTTCAATCGACATAGAATTCCATACTTCTTGGCAGTTATCTTGATGACATTGTCAATGTGAGAGTTGAACATAAGTTTGTCATCAATAATCACGCCAAGATATGTAATATCTCGAACGCGGTCAATAGCCTCAGCATCAATTACAACGGAGACGTTCTCATTTACTCGGTTCCATGAACTTGCTATGAATTTGGTTTTATTTATATTCAATCTAAATTGCTTATACTTCAACCATCTGCTTAGAGAATGCAAATCTTCATTCAAGTGTAAAACGGCATCATCTAAATCCTTAGCAAACCTCAGTAACACAGTATCATTTGCAAAAAGATTAAAAACACGTCGCCGTCAATAATATACATAATCAATCAAAAGGACATTCCAAGGTTATTCACGGGACTGGAAATATAATCATTGAAAACAGTCCGTTTAGTTCTGTCACACAAATAGCTTTCAAAGTATTTATATGCAATACTTGTAACTCCAAAGAAATTGTTTCAAAAGCGCGTCTTCAACAGCAACAATCGTATCTTTACGCTCCATTTCGCTAATACCAAATTCAACGCGGTTTCACAAGAATGACCTTCCAGCAACTTTTTGAATAAGAACCACCAGTATGTAATGATTCATTAATAAGGTCCAGCATGATGTGACCAACATGTGACATAAAAGCAATCTTGAATAACTCAAGCATTAACATTATCTACTCCAGCCGATTTTCCTAATGAAAAGCAAATAACTCTAAGTTCATCTTATGTAGTTAGGTGAAAACCTTCAAATATACAGTTACTTATTAACTGGTTGTTTTATTTCGTCAGGTTTATCAACCTATTCAATGGATTGATTAATCATTAAAACGCTGTCGACAAATTTAATTTAGATGTAATTAGTTGTTCTGACTGTTCTAATGAGCATGTCTATTACTATGAGTGGCCATACTTTGAATCCGTTACTGATACTGAGATCAGAACGATAATCTTTACTTTTGCACAGTCCTTATTCAACATGAGTGCTGCAATATGTTTTTCTCGTTTGATTATGTATACAGGATATGTTTGGAAGAAAATCCCAATGTACGAAGACATTAATGGATTTAACAGTTTAATAATCAAGTGCCCAAGTTGTTTCAATAATTTATAGTTTTTTTTTACGATAAATCCATCAAATTAAACACTAGTCCAGCTATTTTTGAATTGCAGAATTGTTCGGTAAAAGCAGTGAAAAATTAAAAAATCCAAATTTGTCCAGACTATGTTCTGTTAATCCCGTTTAATTGTAAAATATAAAATTTGACAATTTCGTTGTTTCATCACGGATAAACGATCATTTGAAATTTTACCGACATTTCAGCAATTCAAAAACCCAGTGCAAAATTAGTAAAAAATAATAGTGGTGTGTATGTTTCAACTTATTAAACCTGTATAAAACAATGTGCTATCCGCAACTTTATAACTTACTCTTCATTTTTCTATTTTCTATTTCAGTATTAGGTGTATTAGTGATAGTATTTATTGCCAGTGTTACTGTTTTTTTTGTTATGTGGTTTACTGATATTTACAACAACTCTTTACTAGAGGTAAGTTCCCAGAAACAATGCAACGCCATTTGCCTTTTAATCACGTAATAATCATTCTAACTTACAGAACCTCAAACTGAGTTACAACTCAACGGCAGCTGAATGGTGGGAAAGACCACCAGTTAATCCGTTACTTAGAGTGCACGTGTTCAATTATACCAACTTTGAGGATTTTTTCAACAATAAGGCAGATAAGCTCAAAGTTGTGGATTTGGGTCCTTACGTGTATCACGAAACGGCCGAGAAGGTGAACGTTACCTATCATGGTGATGGCACAATAACGTATAAAGTGAGTTCATTTTCGACCATCAAGAATACTTATTGCAGTGCTAATTCATTATCAGAAACCAAACCAAGAATCGAGATCGCCAGTCTAAAAACAGTTAGATACGCATAGAGGTGATACGAATTGCATTGCTCTTACCGTCTTACCTGTAAATAATATGCTTGGATACGGTTAGGAATGCCTCTCTATGTTTTTATTATCATTCGAGTATATTAAAAAAATAAATTCTTCACAGAAGCGGCTAGCTAAGTGATCAGATGTATTTTGTTCAATGTACCAACAAATTTGCAAATTCTGGGAGTCGGAAGAAAAATGCAGAAAGTTTCGAGTTAGAGTAGAGTAAAACAAAAGTTCGTTTTGAGGTTTTCAAAGCCAGTGCAAAACCAAATTAAAACTCAATGTTTCGAAACTTGATTTTTTTTTTCGAAGCGTTAAAGGAAAAAGTTTGTTATTAGATGAAATATTATATCATTTCATACATAGAACAATATTATCGGTACAGTTAAAAACCGGGAAACCCCACACACGACGATCGATTTTACTCTTGTTCTGTGCGTTAAACATATTTTATTTATTATAGATTATAGTCACTTTAACGCTTTTGAGTCATTCGTGACTTGTTCTTGGTGAGATTTGAACTCGTGACTTTGGCGTGAGAGGTATGGATGCTAACCACTACACCGGGGTCGCCCCCACGTTAAACATAGTTTAGGACATAGTGCGCTGTATTCTCCCAATGATACGCTACACAGCAAAAATAAAATTTAATATTACATCCAAGAGGATGCACTTCAATCATGTCGAAAACCTCATTAATTTTTATGACACAAATAAACAAATACAGTAAAAGCAACGTAATGTCAGGTCATGCACTGTACTACTATTATGATAATTTTGTCACTTTTGGCAAGTAATATTACACCATATTTTCGACACGATTGAAGTGCACTTTGGTGTGATATTAAAATTAATGTTTTGCTGTATATAGTGCGCACTATGTTTAACGTACACACCAAATTTGAGTTTTTATTATCAGTAAAACGAATTGCTAGATCATGATCAGCAATCCAATTCTTCACTGAAAAACAGCAAACGATATTTTTTACCGAAAAAATCAGCTAACATAAACTAACACCCAGTTAAACAGCTGTCAAACTGTTAGCATCACAGTCGCAAGTATTTTTCATTCGTACACCAATGGTCAAACCGCAGACAAACAGACATAACACTCGTAAGTTGTTCATCGAACAAGCATTTAACGGTTAATTTAAAAGTATCGTAGTTGGTAGTACCGCCACCTGTGGCGCGCATAGTCAATTTCCTTGCGTTTGACGATAAGACACTACCGCCATCTGTTCAGCTTACTACCCACCACAGTGTACTCAACAGATGGCGGTAATGTTTTAGCGACGATGTTTTACTTTGAAAAATATTCAATGTGTTATGTCTGTTCGTCTGTGGTCAAACGGTCAAACCGCAAGAGGAGGAAGAGGTAAAAAAACTACAAATAAATAAAATTATGTAGGTAAGGACACTGGCTCGGACACTGCTCATATTTAATAAATGATACTTGGAAAAGAGTCTGGCGATTTTATCTTTATTATTCGGCTATAAGTATCAATGATCTTTTACAGAAGCTGGAAGCTCATATAGTGAAAACAAATTCGATTTACTGACTTTAATAGTTTAATCAGCAAAATGCTGCCAAATGTCAGATTTTTGAATTGCTGAAAGATCAGTAAAGAAATATTGCTGATTTTCAGTAAAAGGTTGTCATTTTGACAGAAGTTGGAATTGCTGAAAAATTCAGCAGCATTATTTTCTGGATTCTGGATTCTCAGCGATTTAAATTTGGTGTGCAGAACGAGAGTAAAATCGAATGTCGCGTGTGGGGTTTTCCTGCGTCCAAGTTGACCGACAATAGTGAATGGTTAATTTTATTTCAGGGCATGACTGCGGTCCTTTGGAAGATGTTTTAAGAAGTGTCACACAACATGTCATCAGAAAGCTGGATTGCATATATTGGATCACAAGTTCGAGTCGTGTCCAAAACACTATAAAAATGTCTGAAAAATATTCAATCATAAATGGAGTAGAATGTGCGAAAAGTATCGTAAAATTGTCAAACTTACTGCATTTATTGTGGGAAACCACTATTTCCGAGTAGATTTCGTTGCTCTCCTAGTTTTAACAAGGATAATTTATGTCCTTCACACGAGCTGAACCCAGGATTGATTTTAGATGACGAACTCTCATTTTTGCGGCCCTTTTACCAACAATCAATACGAAACTAACGATTTTAAATTGGTTCACTACTTGACTAGCCTATTGGTCTCAAGCAAACGATTAACGTACCCCATTCTAGTCAAAATTCTAGTACTACACAATGTTTGTTGTGATTCGCTATGAAAGTTTGACAGATAAAATGAGGGGTTAATGGATTTTCCTATGTTTCGAGGGATGAATCGATTAGCTTGGGACCGAAGAGAGTACCAGAGCAGAGCCAAAAAGTTGAGCACGTTTCTTCGGGACCTTCTAGTCTTAGAGTTATTTCTATGGTAACACTAAGATCAAAGGTTCCGAAGAAACGTGCTCAACTTTTTGGCTCTGCTCTGGTACTCTCTTCGGTCCGAAGTTAACACCTCATTTATCTGTCAAATTTTCATAGCGAATCAAAACAAACATAGTGTTAAGCCGGGTTAGATATCCTACGCAGGTGTGGAAGCTGCTTTCCTGCACATTCGATAGCCGTCAATGGATGGCAATCAATGTCCGTCGGTGATTGGTATTAGATTGAGGAATAGAGACCGACGTTAAATAAAGGAATAATAATAATAAACATAGTGTAGTACTAGAATTTCGACTAGAATTTGGTACGTTCATCGATGTACTTGGGACCGATAGGCTAGTACAGTGTGCCAATTAATCATGTTTTTTTTTGTTTTCGACATCATCCACATCCAGAGGGCCAGTCACTTCGAATGTATGGGAATGGTAGGAAACCATTTGGAATGCATGAAAATTTTCAGTTGTTATTATCGTCTTTATGGGCAGTTTTAGATGCACAAAAATTGCACGAGTACATTACTGTGGTGATAAGGTAAACACTCGTTTATTTGTTTCCTTCTGTGAAAGCATGTTTAGTCACAAATCGTGGATTTTCTGATATTCTCCATACTGCAAAAATGATTTTCCTACCACTGAAGGGGCGACATCTCTCGGATCTTCAGTACAGCTACTACTTAAATCATATAATTAATTGGCTATATCCTACCTCGTTTCGCCTAACGTTTCTTCTTGTTCTTCAGCGCGGGCCCGCTGATGGTCCTTCCACAGCCACTCCTTCACCTTCCTCAGCTTCCTTATGGGCACTTTTCACAGTCCAGTCGGTTCCTTTCCTTCGACTTTGAACCCTCGACTTGGTTCGCAAGCCGGTCGCGTACTTCGGTACTTTCCGCGACAACTCTTCGATCTCTCTCTCTCTCTCTCTCCTCACTATACTCGTGGCGTCTAACGGTCTATGGGCCGTTTGGTTTGTGTTCCCGGATATCTTCGTATCGGAAGATGCTCGGGGTCTAACCGCGCCGTATGCTGAATGACGGACAATACGGGGTCTGACCACGCCGCGGATGAATTTCCAGCGGTAAACTACGGTGTCCTGTGCACATAATGGGGAATTACGATGGCGGTTATTGGCGATCGAGAAGGTGTTTCTCTCGAAGGGAATTTTACCTGGATGATTCCGCACCTCACTCTCCTTCTTCACTTTTTCCACGTCCTCACGGTTCTTACTGACTTTCGATCTTGCTTGAACTTGCTTTACGAAGTATCGCTGTTGAGTATCGCCAATCAAATGATTCTCAACGATGGCGGCTGACCTATTCTCTCTCCTCGTCGACGAGCCATCGTCCTTCCGCCCTATTTCGCCTCATCATGGCCCCATTATGCCACCTCCTTATGGCCTCCAAATCCAGTAAACAGTGCCATCTGGTGGTAGGTAGATGATCTTCCTGTCGTTTAGTGGTGTGGCTGTGTACTATCCAGTGGGTGATTTTGTGGGCGATCGTTGGTGTTGGTAGCTTGTATTCAAACCTTTCCTTGGCATATTGTTATACTTAAAACACCTTAAAATACGAAACACTAAGCGCGACAATCGCACTAATCTCAGACAGACAGAAACACCACTGGTTACATTGGTTACTTGGGATGGTTTCGAGAAAAAACGCGATTAAATATAAATTTCATGCCGGGAGCAACCCAAAATTTGAGTCCTTTTTACTTATTTTTGAGTAGAGCCTTTCACTTGCACTTGTTATTGTTGTCCAAAAAGAAACGAGAGATTCTACCCTAAGATTTAGTTCAGCCCAATAAGTTACTTTTGAGTAAATTGCATATTCTCAAATTTACACAAATTAAACTTAATTTAGGGTCGAATGTACTTAAGAGTAGGTTATTTTTTTGCTGGTGTTAAATGGAAACTACTATATGCGATTTACTCAAATTTTGGTTATTGAGCTAAAACCGGGAATTGAGGGGAAAGTTCTTAATTTTGGATAGTTTTTCATCTCCGTGTAGTCTCCGCCCCAAAATAGTGTGAAAGAAAGTGTTCCCGGGTATAAAACAAATTGTACGTATTCGTACTCTAAACTATAATTTAAGACCAAAAACAAAATTCATGGGCAAGCCTCGTAAAAAATTTCTCTGAAAAATGCAAGTTATTTGATATAGGGGTCAGTGTTGGCAAAATCAGAAATCAATTGATATTTTTCCGCTCTCATGCGCTCGCAATATAACGCGTGATATTGGAGCAAAATATCATGCTTGATATTGATTTTACAAGCTCCTTTGATATTGCGAGACTATACACAACGTGCAAAAATCAAGTTGAGAGTTGACTCGACACAAAAATGTTTCCATTGCACATCGTTTTTTTAGAAAGAGAAAGCATAGTTTGCTACCTCTTTTTAATCTTCACCGATGGCAGATGCGAAGGGACTGCTGTAAGCTGTTATGGAAGTTGCGGTTGCATTCGGATGTAAAGCAAAAATCATTAAAATCAATCTCACCACAGTTTTGTGAGATTTGCAGTTGGTGAGTTTGGTTAGCATGATATTCCGAGCTGCGATATCACAGCTTGCAAAATCAACCGCAGTAGTTTGCTTGTTGATTTTTGTCTACGAAAATCAAGCGTGATCTTGGGCGTTGGTGAGATTTGATTTTTTGATATTTTCGCAACACTGATCGTGGTTAAGAAGTTACAGCTGATTATGTGTGTGGTATTACCGAAGTAACCACCAAGCCCGCTAATTCGCCTTTTTGCAATATAAGGCTAATATGCGGCTAATATAAAGCTTAGCATGCTATATGTTAGCCGTGTATCAGCCTTATATTGCTAAAAGGCGAATTAGCGGGCTTGTTGGTTACTTGGGTAATATCGTGTTTACCCAGAAGGTTCCACAGGTGGCTAAAAATATGTTTGTCTCTTATTCTGATTGCTTACCTAGATACACATTCGAGCGTTCTCCACGTGAAAAATAGTAAAAATGTGTGACTTTCATAAAAAATAGTAAGATTGGTGCAGTTTTCTGAAATAACTGGTAGAAAATCATGCCAAAAATACTTTTATTTATTTATTATTATTACAGTCCATCTGACTTGAAGTAGTGGTCCATTTGGGATCTTGTGTATGCCATAACAGCAATTTATAAAATAACGAAAATTTTGAATGGCTCGAGTGACACTTGCCTTTGATAAAAAAAACACGTGTACTGAGGATTCATATTTATGAAAAAATCATATATCAATGAAACAGTCATCGGTTGTCATTGAAAAACAATGCAACTATGTTCTGTCCATCTAATTGAACTTTTATTGGCTCTGTTGTCTTGTGAATTTTAGCTATAACGGCCTCTTTTCTGATTTTTATCTCTCAATCTATAAAATATACACGAAAACTATGTTTTAACGAAATTTTTAGAATAATATGAGGAACATAATGCCGTAGACTGCACATTTTTACATCATATGGTAGAACAAATACTTTAAAATTCTTCACTTTTTAAGATATCTTCGAGCATGAAACTAAGTCAAACTTCAATAAAATCACTTTGAATAGTCAACCTTTGGTTACAAAGTTGATAGATGACACATTAATACCCCGTTCACATTACAGCCTATATCACGTAATATCCGGAGTGATTTGAGATTTGGGTGTAATTACATTTGTAAACAAACACGTAAATCGCCGTAAATTTCTCGTGAATCATAACTCGACCTCGAAAAATAATAACACTGTCAGGTAGAGGAATGATTCCTCTACCATTTGGTTTTGTTTGTTTACAAGATTGATCTGCTATTCTCAAGAATTCAACGATTGACGTGTTTGTTTACAAAAGCAATTACGCCCAAATCTCAAATTACTCCGGATATAGGCTGTCTGGCAATGAGCACTCATACATAAGATTTCCAGTGAAAACTAAATCTATGAGTGCTCATTGCAAGACAGCGTATATCACGTGATATACGCTGTAATGTGAACGGGGTATAAGCTTTGCTATGAAAGTTCTTACAGCAGTTTTCGTTGTTTCAGTCTCGAGATACAAATATTATAAGGCGTAAATTATCTTAAAAAACAATAAAATTAACCACTCTCCACTCTCTGATCGGTTTTCGGAATTATCCCCCAGGCTCCTCACCCGTTGTGAAATTATCAACCCACTGGTGATTGCAAACTTTGAGGAGCTTCTTGAGCTAAACCCTCAAACTCGTTTTATGTCATTGTACTACGTGTACATAACACAGGATGTCAGCCCTTCCCAGCATAATCCCTATCGTGTTTGCTTCTTCGACTTCGGCAATTCTGTTCATTTTGATTTATCCATGACGCAAGAGATTCACGGAATCCCAGAGCATCATCGTTCCATGATTGCTCCGTCAATTTTAGCTGCAAAGTTTGGCCAAGTTGATTCCGCAAGATCGTTCTTCACAGGTGGATCACTAATAGAGGCGTCCGCTGGTTTTGGTATTTATAACGACTTTCATAGCGCCTCTCGAATGCTTCACACTTCTTGTTCCGTATATGTTGCTGAACTGGCGGCAATACATTATGCGCTAGAAACGATCGCCTCACTTGCACCAGATAATTATTTTATTTTTACGGATAGTCTCAGTTCTGTCGAGGCTATTCGCTCCATGAAGCCGGCAAAGCACTCAGAGCTTCTAAGTGCTTTATCTTTAAGATCTTTTGTCATCACCTTTGCATGGGTCCCATCTCATCGCTCGATTCCGGGCAATGAGAAAGCGGACTCGCTTGCAAAGTTGAGCGCTATTTGCGATATCTACGATCGACAAATCGCCTACGACGAATTTTTCGTCATTTATCGTCAACAGTCACTCGCCAGCTGGCAGAATAAATGGAGTGAATGGAGTTTGGGACGATGGCTATATTCGATCAACCCTAAGGTATCGAAGAGGCCTTGGTTCAAAGGGTTGGATGTGGGTCGAGACTTGATTCGTGTGATGTCTCACCTCATTTTCAATCACTATTCGCTAAGCGCTCACTTGTTCCGTGTTGGGCTGGGGGACAGTAATCTCTGTGAATGTGGACAAGGTTACCACGACGCAGATCACATTATTTGGTCATGTGCTATAGGCATCTTGTGTCACTTTTTCTCGAGTGAGTGAACTCAAATCCATCGGTGCACTCCATTCAGAAGGATAAATAGGGATGTTCAGGACATCTTGCAAAAAAAAAAAAAACCTAAGGGATGTGTGGAATCGAACGAAATTTCAATTTTTTTTCGTTGATGTGGATGAGAATGTGAATTAGAGGATAAAATGGATGTGGGATATGGATAGATGAGGATGTACCGTTCCCTTGGCTATCACGCTTAAATTGACATGATGTGTCGTAGAGCGATAACAACGTGTGTGCTAAATATTCACACTTAGATTTTTTCACCGAGCCCGGCAAAAAAGTACCGAGAATCCAACAGCCGAGCTTTCGGCAAAAATTACGGTAAAACATTCAATTGCCGTGAGAATGGCAAAGCAAATTTTACCACAACTGTCAAATTTTACCAATCCTTCGGAAAAAATGTTTACCGTTTATCGTTATTTTTTATGTGAATCGTGGCAGTTTTTATTTATTTTTTATTTTTTGCTTTTATTTGCAATAATTATTGAGATTTTGAAAAAGAAAAATTAGTAGGGTAGAATTTAACAACATTTTTTTAAACACCTCGAAACGTTCTTTATTTCAACCTTCTTTTCAGCTTGGATAGCACTTTCGCTTTCCATGCGCTCCTTACAGAGTGGTCGACTTCATTCTGACAGTTATTTTACGTATTCTTGGCATAATGAAAGTCCGTGTTCGTTTTGACCGATAATTTAAGTATTTTCGGCAAAGTAAAATGTGAATGCCGTAAGTTCGTTGAATTATTTGCTGATTTCGGCAGTATGAATTTTTTCCAATTAGATCAGTGATTACTATTGACGAGTTGTGGTAAATGATTGTTTTTACCGAAATTTTGCTAAAACTAGATCCGAATTTCGGTAAACATCATATGTCATATGTTCAACGAAACATCGGCAAATTTTCAGTTTACTGAACTGTTACGGCAATATTTTTCACCGAGCACAGATTTTGATTTTTAAGTGTGTAGTTGAAATTTATTTGATTTTTATCAAACTGTGCATGTGGAATTTGCTTTTATATATTAGTAGGATACACTATCTATTAATATTCAACGAAATAACAAACATAAGTGCCAAATATGACATTTATACTGCTACCTCTTTACTCAATCATAATCAGCTATACTATTGCTAAGAAAATAACCAAACTATTTGAATACAGGCAAGTTTATGAGATTAAAAAAATGTACATGATATACGAGCTACTCGTTGTTATTTTTTCCTTGATTTGTTTTCCATCGATCTTTTTTTCCGCACTGAGTACCAATGCAAGGAAGGCAGCTCCCACAGCTGGACTCTACTTATCGACCCATCAACTCATCCAGCGAAATAAAATGCCGAGCTGCTCGGTGGTGCCCATCTCGGCGAAAAAATCTAAGTGTGCGTGATCAGAGATTTTATGCCTTGAAAAATCCCGGCGGCTCCGACTGTGATTGAACCCAGGCCATTTGGGGTGAAGGGCAATCACGCTTACCACTATACCACCGGCGCCGCTATAGTATCTGTTATGAATACATAATTACTTCAGTTGAATTAAATGATTAAGACTCGCTCTTGCACCTCTTTTCGTATCTTTCATTATTTGTGATGTCACATGTGTAACCTAGCATTACTTCTTAATATGAGCTTAATTATAAATTTAATTATTTTAGGAAAAGAGATCTTACCAGTTCCTAGCGAATCAGTCACATGGAATGCAATACGACAAGGTTGTCGTACCCAACATACCAATGCTCACAGCGATTGCTCAATATTATGACGGAACATTCATTCAGAAAGTGTTATTGAATGGTGCTCTAAAAAATGTCAATGCAAAAGCCTTCAAGGTTCTACCTATTGATTCATTTTTGTGGGGATATGAAGACGAGCTTTTGAGCTTGGCTCAGAAGTTTTCATTTAATGATGAAGTATCGTTCACCAAATTCGGTATTCTAATGACGGTTCGTATGAATTCAAATTTAAACGATACAATTTTTATAAAACCTTCTTTCACCTAACAGCGGAATGGTACCAGCGCCGAAAACTTCACGGTATATTCAGGTGAGACGGATTTAAAACAGCTGGCGATCATCAAAGATTTAAATGGAAAGTCATCATTAGACATGTGGACAACTGACGAATGCAATCGGGTGGATGGTACAGATGGATCACAGTTCCCTCCACATCTGATGGATAAACAACAAACTCTTTACGTTTTCATCAAATCATTGTGTCGTAAATTTCCCCTGAGCTACGAGAAAGAAGTAACCTTGTTCGATGGTATCCCTGCCTGGCGCTACAAGGCTCCATTGGATGTCTTTGCTCATCCTAGTATTAATGCAGATAATCAATGTTTCTGCCATTTGGGAACCGCTTCATGCCCACCAAGTGGCCTATTAAATGCAACTCTATGTTCCTATGGTGCACCGATATTTGCGTCTTTCCCACATTTTTATACCGGTGATGAAAAACTTCTTGAAACAATCGATGGTTTACATCCTCAAAAAGAATTACACGAAACATTTGCTGACATCCATCCCAGACTGGCGTTCCCAATCGATGGTGCATCTAGGTTTCAAATAAATATCCAAGTGAGAAAACCATCGTATATACCAGGTAATCATTATTATTGAATATCAATGAATTGTTGTAATATACAGTTAATCTTGTCCCCAGGCTTGGAGCCTTTCATGGAAGACCAAATCATTCCAGTTATATGGTTGGAAGTAGTTCCGGGACATATTTCAGAAGAATTACGAAATATGATCTACCACAGTACGTTTAGCGCCAACGCAATTCAGTTTTCATTCAAATATGGATCCTTGCTCATCTGCGTGACTACATTCGCTCTTTTAGCGATGACATGTTATTTCCGAACGAGAAACAATTCCATCGATCCTTATGCTGCAACGTCTAACAGTGAACCTACCCAAAAACTTAACTCACTAAACAATGAAATGAAAAATTAGTTTTTTTTAAATGTATGTCTTTGTAAATTTTGTTTAGTTATAAATTTATCCACGTAAAAAAAGATCTGCCCAACTACTCTTAACTTCACATATGCATTACGGTAGCCTTAAATACTTGTCCCCAATTATCTAATAAGTGAGTTATACAAGTCATTCACGAGAGCATTCACGTCTATTTAGGCTGAATACAAGACTATCAGGACTGCTTCGTTAAAAAAGCATATTTCATAAAGATGATTAAACCATTCAAGTTAATAGCCTGTTTCATGATTTATGTGTGTTTGTTAAACTGTGGCCCTTAGGATATTTAGTTGCGATCCGTGGATGAATGTCTCGATATGTTAACGATGTGGCTCATGGAAACCAAATGTTTTGTATAATCGTAAAAGGTGAATCCAGAAAATGTTTTATCATATTTTTTTTAACTATATAGACCCGAGTATTTTCGTAAAATAAACATTTAAAAAACTCCAATTACAATTGATTTACACAATTTAGAAATTAAAATTTATACAATTTAGATTTGTGATTTAGTGGCTGAACTGGTAGCAATTCACTACACTTTGGAAACTATTGCTTCACTTCTTCCAGACCACTACTTGAAAATACGAGAGCTGCTTAGTGCTTTATCCGTGTGCTCTTTCATCATCACTTTCGAGTGGGTCTCTTCACAATGCTCAATTTTGGGCAATGAGAAAGCGGGATTCACTTCCGAAGGTGGGCGCTATGGAATGCGATATTTATGATCGACAAATCGCCTATAGTGAATTTTTCTCTCTTTATCTATAATCAGTGAAGGGAGCTTGGGACGATTGCTACATTCAATTATCCTTAAGGTGTCGAAGTTTGCATGGTTCAAAGGGTTGGACTTGGGTCTAGACTTCATACGCGTGATGTCTCGTCTCATGTCCAATCACTATTGTCTAAGATCACATTTTTATGATTCCCTTCGGGCTCGAGGTAGACAACTTAATGTTCCAGTGCGGTATATTTTGGCTAGACGCAATCTGGAGTTTATGAAACTCATATATGTTTACTTTAAGAATATTAACCTTGGATTGTAAGTTTGATTAACCTTGTGTTTAGTTTGTATTTTGTAAGTGTGGGTTTTTTTCAATGTTTTTTTTTAAGATAAATAGAAATAATTTCATGTTTTAGGATTGATTAAATATTTGTATCTTAAACCACATTTCAAACCTCCTTCTTCCCTTTTCCCATCCAAAAAATTGTAAATCTCCACTAACCTCGAGATAACCGCGAGTACTCGGTCCAGTCCCTTTAACTTTAAATATAAGACAGTAATAATGTATATCGGAAAGGAAAACTCGGCTCTGTAAAGTTTATTTGATTGAGCCTGTACAAATAAAGTAATTATTATAAAAAAAACAGAAATTTGATTTAAGTTTGCAAACTAGAGAGGTATTGCCTGCTCAGTTCTGTTTTTGAAATATGATAGAAACTACGAGTATCTAACTTACTTCAACTTTTTTCTTTATTATGTATACGTTCCAGGTGAATCTATACGTCTATTTTCAACTTAGCTCAAAGACTTCCACAGTTCTTAGTCTACACTAGTAGTACCTACACCTAATACAGGAAGACAGTCCGAATCATACTTAAAGTTCGTTTAGACTTACCTATAGACTTTCTTGGTCGGACTTTGACCGCAGCCATAATGCTCAATTTTACTTTCGACACACTTTGTCGAACCCGTTTGGTGTATAGTCGCTTTATTTCTAGTCTTGCGGATAGAATTTCGATCTATTAAAAGCGGAATCATTTCAATATATTGTAGACCAACAATTGAAAAGGTACTATCAATTTTTATAACCAAAACGTTGATTATTCTTTCCTCGCCAATAGAAGGTAAATTACCAGCATCATCGGATAGGGGAAACTTTCCACAGCCTAGGTGAGCTTTTAGTCACGAGAAAACGGTTTCCGAAATTTTGTTCGCAATAGCTGATGTGCTCTTTTCTGTTGTTGGTCGTTGTTTGTTGTTGGTTCCGTTATTTGACAGCTCAATTCGTTCCCGAGATTCTATCCGCCCGACTATGAATATAGCGACTATAGTTTGGTGGTAGGGTAGAGAACTACTTCGGCCTAATCTCCCATTTTGGGCCTATCGAGCAGAAAACTTTAAATGAATCCCTGATTTCAGAGTTAACAAGTCAATTATGCATTTGGTACGATAATTTAGTTAATAAGCTACGGAACGAAGTCAATGAGAACGCGTGATATGACACCCATTATTCCCAAAAACAAAAGGAGCGCTCCGTCTTCTGCTAGTTGCCTCGCTAAGAAAGCCTATGCGTCTGAAGAGGAATCGAAGGATTGTCTAATTGGCTCGCCAGGGAAATTTCGGTATGCACTAACAAACAGCAGTTTGAAGACTAACCGTAGAACTACTACTACTGAAGGAAGATCCTAAGAAATTTAAATGTTCAAATTGTGGTGAAAACCAAATCCAAATTTTTGGGAATGTAAGATTCGCAAAGCGATCCTACAATCTCGTTCTAAGCGGCAGGTAGGGAACGATCCACGTTCCCGAAAAGGTACAAATTCTTCTGCTTTAAACAATCACGCTTACCACTACACCACCGGCGCCGTTTGTGCATATTGCTGTTATAATGAAACTTTTCTCAAACCTGGTAATAAGGTAAACAGAGACCTTTTTTTATGTCCCCGAAAACCAAAAATGTATAACACTGAATTTAGTCGCAGTTACCATCATCCTCCGTAGCGAATGACATAAATTGACCTTGCAGACGGCCCCCCCTCCAACACCGAACGTAGAAAGAGGCCGGTATGAGGATCAGCGTTAGAAACGACAAAACGACGTTAATATCACAAAGTTTCACTGGTTTTACTAAACTGGAACCTCCGGAAACTCACCCCGACGGGTCTCCGCATTTCGGACCAGGACTCCAACATCCACAGTCCACCCTTAATCGCACCCGAAAAAGAGTAGGAGTTTAGATGTCCTGCGTTTTTTTCATATCTTTGCAATCCATTTTTTGCTTTATCCATAATGCTTATATAATTTAAAATTAAGTATGTTTCTTTCAAACATAAGAAGCATGTTTAAAATAAACATATTCATTTTTGTTCGCATAGTTGTCAAACCAAACAAAAATATTCACGTTTATTTTCAACACGAATATTTTTAAAACAAACGTAACATGATTTTTATTTTAAACATTAATATAACATGACTTCAAACATGGAATACGTTTTAAATAAACCTTGTTTATTTTTGTGGCCAGAACAAACTGAGTTTACGTTTAAATTTACCTCTAATATTTTTGTTTCAACGATAAATTTTTCTGCGCGTAGTAATTTTTTTTGGGTTTCATACGAATGTTAAAAAAATAAATGTTTAAAATGTTTCTAATTTTTACGATTTTTATTTTTGTGGATTGATATTAACATGTTTAGCGCTTCTGGGTGGTTCGGCCGGTAAGTGACTCTCTTCGTGTGGAGCTCAACAACAGGCAGTGTTAGTGAATTGTTCAGCTTCAAAATCAGTGAAACATCTGGAAGTCGATGCAGGAGTGCATAAACTGTCCAATTCCGTGTCAGTTTCTGCACTCTTGCGATGGATTCCAGATGTTTCACTTATTTTCACAAAGATTTTCTATTATCACAGAGAGATTTCCAAACAAGTTCGAGGTAAGTACGCAATGTGAAACGGAGAAGCAAGTTGACTTACGGGTGAGATCAGCAATTATGGAATTTCGTTCGATGACTGTTCAGTAGATTGATTCAAAATTTGAAATTTTCGCTCCACAGCTCCACAAACGTTTTCAAATCAGGTCCTGATTAGCCTCCCAAAATTTAAACTCATTTGGTAAGAAACTGACTTGGCAAAAACTATTCAATGTTTATATGGAAATCATTCTGGGAAAACCAAACTTTTTGTTCATGTTGTCTTCTACCCATTTTCCATATTGTTTTTTTTAGAAAATTTCTATAACTATTTTTACGGGAAATTTTCTAAGCTACAACTTTGTGCAATATTGTTTTTCAGCCAAATGTCAAATTAGATTGTTATTAATTATTTAAGAGATTGATCTTATGGCATGATCAAGCAGCTGTTCTGTGGGCAACACTGTATTCTGCAGTGTGACATAGTAGCCATGATATTCTTCGCACCAGAAACAACAATGCAATGTTGCCTGCTGAACAGTTGAATGAGCATAATCATAAGACATTAGTGACATGAATCATTAATAATTTTTGTTCCTTACATTTGATTGAAAAGTGAAGAATAAGTGAACCGTTGCCATCTGGAGGTAATTTCATTTTATCGTCTTGTTACCTTACATTACGAATACATTTTCATTTCATCAGGTAATAGTAATGATGGCAACACCGCCAGACGATTATTTCAGAATCCAGAAATAACGGCAATTGAGAAGGATATCCTTCGTTGATTCGTTACAATTCTGTGTGCGCTATCTAGCAACCTTGAAATCGTACGTAAAGGCATTCGAAACCTACGCAGAAGAGACTTGAAGGTTGTTTGTACATTATTATAGTTTTTACACTTTGTCACCTACGGTACACAGGGTCTTGGTGCATGGCCCAACAATCATAAGCCATTGTGATATTCCGGTTGGTTTATTATCCGAAGAGGCGCAAGAGCGACGAAACAAATCCATCTGAAAATATCGGGAGTACCATTCTCGACAATTCAGTCGTCTTGCAAAAATCGAGGACGTACACAGAAAAAAAGTTTTCAAAAACAAAACAATGATTGTCACCTGATTATCACATAGCATTAGAAATTCTATATGAGAAATCATATAGATTTCATGGGACTCATAACGTTCATGTGATTTAGTGGTGCAATTTCCAATTATGGGATCACATGAAAGTTATGTGAAATTCAAATGGATATTTTCCACTGGTTATGTGATTTATTTTATGAGTGTATTCCATCGACTTTTGCTGACCTCTGACCCGGTGATGACAGTGCAGAAACAGTTTCCTCAAACCAAGAAAGAGCAATTTCCAGGACCCGTGCAAAAGCTGTAGCAATAATCGACAATGCAAGATAATAGATAGTTGTTAGAATTAAAAAAAAAAATTACTTTGAATCTAGATATCTCATCACACAAGCACACATGTTCGAGAATTTACATGAAGAAGCTTTGTGCATACATAGTACAGCGTTCGCCAACGTGCAGCTAGCGAAGCATAAGAGACATATTCCATCGTTTCCATAGCATGCAGCCAGCAAGCCGTGCGTTGGCGAACGCTGCTTGAATAAATATTGAAGTCTATGAATTCAGATATCTCAAATATATAAAACTATATGTCCGGCAAACTTTCACCTTTGATTGATGATAAATGGTACATTTCAGAAAGTAAATGACTTTTTGTTAAAACTTGTTACTTTTCGAGAAACCGGATTATGAAAATCATGGTAATTTTCACTATTTTGACTAATATTTCGCTTGTATCGACGCAAAACATTGGGAACCCTTCCTTAAAACTTGCAAATTATGCAACTTAAAAGATACAAAGCGTTAAAAATGAAGGATTTGTCGTTTGTATTAAAAATAGCACAAAAAACGCAAATTTCAGATAAATTTTACAATATTCACTTTATCTTTGTTGTTTGAAGACCTAGAACTTTGAGTCCTTGGAAATTTTTTTTATATTTTTTAATGTTCTACAACTTTGTGAAATAAGAAAGTTAGTATCACAGCACCATCTATGCGGATAAAATTGGAACTAATTTCCATTACCAGATGAAGGCGCATGTTAAACCGAAAAACTTTGCCAAAGACAACATTTCAATATAATGCAAACCCAATGCGCTAGTGGTTTTGTGTTGCTAATGTTAGTTCCTGGCCCAGTGTGCAATGTTGCCTGCTGAACAGTTGAATGAGCATAATCATAAAGGCCAGCGCACAATAGATACGTTTTCGGGTTTTTGGACAGATAATGCATGGGCTAACTGTCAAAAACCTGAAAACGTATCTATTGTGCGCCGGCCTTAAGACATTAGTGACATGAATCATTAATAACTTTTGTTCCTTACATTTGATTTAAAAGTGGATTTAAAAGTTGTAGCTGAGAAAATTTACTACAATCACTGCTATCATTTTCAAAGCATAGTGATGTGGTGATTTGTTAGATAGATATGAACAAAAACATATGTTTTCCCATATAAACTTGAAATGGTTTGTGCCAAGTCAGTTTCTTACTAAAGTAGTTCAAATTTTTGGAGGCTAAACAGGACCCAATTCGGAACCGTTTAAGAACTGTGGAGCGAAAATTTCAAATTTCGC